TTTAACGTCACAAATTAAGTCTTCTTAGTCTTCCATATCATTAAAATCAATTTTATAAAAAGATTTGTGTTTGTTGTTTTTAAGCGAGTGTGACAAATGGCAGCTGTGAAAAGCTGACTCTGAACTCAAACAGTTGCATATTTTTCTACATGAAATATACCTAACAACAATATAGAAAGTTATCCATAAGTTCAGTTGATATATTTAGATACTAATCATTATATTACCGCATAAATTTAAAAACAAATGTTTTGTGCGAAATAACCCTTAGCGCATATCGGATTTAGGGCGAAACAACCTGTTACCCACTGTTACAGAAATGAGGTCCAATAAATAAACAATTAAAAGTTAAAAAAGTTACATATTTAAAATTAATATTGATGTAAAACATGACAAAGGAGACTTAATTAGACCCACGCTACTCCTATAACATATAAGAGGCCGCTGGACGGCCTTTTTTTCTATCAGATATCATTTTGTTACATGGTGGCTGTCAAAAATATCTCGCCATGTAAAACCTCTAACATTGTGGGAGTAAGACCCACACCAGACATCTATCTGTCAAAATGTCCAAGTCTGGTATCAGGGCTTTTTCATGTAGGAACTTTATCTAAATCAGAGATTTATAACGATAGAGTTCCTGCACAGCTCCTATATAAAGATGTATGAAATGGAAGACGGTAAGTGTTCAAAGTACTCACATGGTTTATAGTAATTGAACATTGATATTGCCAACGAAACTTGTAATTCCCAATAGATAAATGCTTTCGCTATACGATCCAACTGAAAAACCTGACATAAAAGCATTGCACATCATCGCAATAGTTCTTAATACCAACGTACCCAAAATTTCACTTCGAAATGTCCGCCATCACTGTTTACAACACTGCGCATGCGCAGGAAAGCAGCAAAAGTGCATTGCTTTTAGTCCAGAGGCCACCAAAGGGACATCAGTAAATCGTTCTGTTTGTTACAGAGAAACTTTAAAAAATAGTCAAAAACGAAACAAACTCTTTAATACACAAAAAAACAAAAAACTATTTATTAATGGGTAAATAAGGTTTTTTTCTTTCTCCTGGAACAGCTTCAAAATTAAACTGTCACAGTGTACTTTATTTTTAAACCGAAGGAATTCCATCTTTCCTGATACAATTGTTTTTTTTGTGCATTTTTACATTTCTTTTGTTTTTCCTTGTATATATATGATACGTTTTGTATCATAGTGGATTATATTTTATAGATATCAGATTTTCCATAGAGAGTATTAATTATTTTTCATTTTCTGTAAATATGGAGAAGAGAATCAAAACCTGTTCCTGATTTTTTAATCACATTAAAATGGTAATTAAGAGCAATTAATCTAATTCCATGTTAAGAGATAATATTTTTATTGTTTTTTATCATATATAAAACGATGACAACTTATAATTAAATCCCTGTTTCTAATAGCATCCGAAATAGGAATACAAACCAAAATATAAACAAAAACAAAGGAAATGACTGATAGCTGACAGAAAATTACCTCCAGATGTTTTAGTGAACTGTGTTTGAAAGAGAGTAATCATTCATTAAAAAAATCAATATAAAAAAATAATTTTCGTCCCATTTTTTTTTTTTTTTATAAACATTTACTTTTTATTTCAACTGAAAAAAATGTTTGAATTCTTACATGTATAAACAACATTAAAAACACTTTTGTGTATTTAGTGTTTGTTTCGTTTTTGACTATTTTTTAAGCTTTCTCTGTAACAAACAGAACGATTTACTGATTTCCCTTTGGTGGCCTCTGGACTAAAAGCACTTCTGCTTTTGGGTATGTTGGAATTAAGAACGTTTGCGATGATGTACAATGCATTTATATGGGGGGTTTTAGTTGGATGTATAGCGAAAGCATTTATCTATTGGGAATTACAAGTTTCGTTGGCGATATCAATGTTCAATAACTATAAAGCACGTGAGTACTTTGAACACTTACCATCTTCCATTTCATACATCTTTATCAGGTTGGGCACAACGGCGCATATGGGTAATAATCCTGCATTTGGGTAACATCTTTGTATGTTATGGTTGAATGCACTTCAAATCTAATTTCACTATCCTATATAAAAAATCAAAATTTTGTACTTCACTTACGTTTTTGAAAATCGCCATATCTATTAGTTATTACAAACAACTTTTGGTTGAACAGTTTTCGGTTTTGAAAGTATTTCACGACCTTTGAAACCTTAGAAAAGTTGGGACATCTAAAATTGAGAAAATGTCAAAACAAGAAAAAACGTTCAACCAAAAGTTGTTTATAACAACCATATTAATAGAGATTTTTAATTGAATAGTGAAGCACAAAATTTTGATTTTTTAAATAGGATAATGAAAGTAGATTTGAAGTGCATTCAACCATAACATACAAAGATGTTACCCAAATGCAGGATTATTACCCATATGCGCCATTGTGCCCAATCTGTTTATATAGGAGCTGTGCAGGAACTTCATCTATTCCCATAACATGAGAGGCCGCTGGTCGGCCTTTATTCTTTCGGATATGATTTTGCCGACTGCGACCTCCCATTTCCGAAGCACTTATTCTTTGATGCAGTTTCCGCCCGATATCCGGGCGGAACAAAATCGGCTTGAAAAACTCACTTAAGTGGTTAACAGTTCATGACAACGATGTCTACTCACGTTTTGTATAATAAAGATATCATATGTATGTCACAGACATAAATATATAGTATATTACGGAATAGAAAACTCAAAATACATGTCCATGTCGTTGTAGCACATCTCTGACCTACATTTAAAACATGGCTTCCTGGATTAATACAAAATAGCAGGGAGATTTCAAACGGAACGAAATGATAAGGAGTTTGTTTGTATTCCGCTTGTGAAACATTACATGTAATCCATTTTTGTATTAACCGGAAAATCATGGGAAATGCTGTCTGCTTCGCTTCAAATGAGGAAAAAATCATTATTTATGTCTTTGACACGATTTTTTTCAAATAATCATGGATTTATGGAAAGGAATATCTATTGGACCCTTTTGACCATTTAAATGTATGTAAACACGATAAACTCTTTCTTAATTCGAACTTTGAAAATGTGATCGTCAGGATCGGGAAAATCAGCTATGGGCAGTTAGAGGTTACGCGGCGCCTGTCAAATATTTTTCGCCGTGTAAAACTTCTAACATTGTTGGAGTAGAACTCCATCGTTATAAATCTCTGATTTTGATAGAGTTCATACAGGAATTAGTGTCACTGTCAGGGCCATAGGAATCTCGGGCTACGGTAGCTGCGATAACGTAGCTCTGAACGACGGACGGATGATTTCTGAATGATAGATGGTCGTCGTCAGAGCGGAGAGTAGGCAGGGTATGAAGATGCTGGCTATCGCAGGTCGTTCTGAAAATGAAAGATGTCAGCAAAGTTTCTCAAGCCTAGAGTGTGACACAAAAGAAATCACGATGGCTTTGTTACCACGGAAATATCATTGCAAGTAGTTGAATCAGTTATCAAACGTCAAGGACATTTCCAACTTACTCTCCTAACCTCCGCTAAATGTGAAGCCTGTGGTAATATTCAGCACTCCCGCTAAAGTTCATACGTACAGCGCGCTAGCGCCCCCTGTAGGTTAGGTAGGTAGGTTATAAATTAGGTCTTATATAAAGCAGGAGTCGGACATGAACCGGTGTCAAAATATCCGGATACAAGTAATATTGGAAAATGTAAGAATTTTATAACTCATTAAGAAACACGCATAAATGTTCAATTTGCTTAATACAAGTTTATCTTGCTTAAAATAAACACACACATGAAAAAAGCCCAGTGAAATAGTATTTCATTTTGTCAAACATACGAGATTTCTTTTCACTACCGAAGCGCCAAAGAGACGTTCTTATATTGGTAAACACTGCTTTTAAAAAAAAATAACCTTGTTTTGCTATAAACTTCCGATTTTCATCAATATCAAATGAAAAGTACATGTAATTTACCAAACCGATATTATAGAAAAACAAGCTAAATAATAAATTATAGATGAATATTAAATAAAGTGAAAAAAAAACCTACACATTAAAATATATTTTTCAGTTTAAAAAAACATATTGCAAAATCAACAAAAAATGTGTAACAAAAAAAAATGTTTTGATAATTAATTTGACGATCAAGGAATCCTCAATGTCTTTAAATTCCAGGGCTAAGATTCTGTAACATCCAAGATTCTGTAACGCCTCGCCTAACCGAGGCGTCAGCCGAGGTTGAGATGTTACAGAATCTTAGCCCGAATCTAGCCATCCCTAGGGGGTCCAACCACTCCCCTCCCTTCACCTTTATAACTTATTGAACAGCATCACTCAAAATTACAAAATATCCTAACGTGCCTTTTGCCGAGAAGGTAGTGTTAAGCAATTAAATTCAAATAGGGAAATTGGTTTAGATGGTAATAGTCCACATGATCAACAGGTGCCAACATAAAGCGATTAATACTAAAATAGGCACCCGAGGTAAATTTGATCCTGAATACGCAAAACCGATTGTTGGCAGCCGTTATGAAAAAAATATGGTTCACTGTAGTACACAAAACAAACAAATATATATGTTTCAACCGTACAAAGATTTGATCACTTTTTGCGTACGAACACAATGGATTGAAATCAAACAGAGCATTTGAGGATTTTTGACGTGCGTGCAACTGCTTATTTGCTTACATTAAGATTCTGACCGCATTGTACAAATAATAAATCCTGTAGCAATGTAAATATTAACAGATCGTGTAAAACTCTTTTCACAAATAACATTCCCATATATGATGAACAGGAAATGGGGGTTCTGCAGCACCCCGTCCCTCCTTCTTTATTTATAGTAAACAGTGAGGGACCAGTGAGGGTTGAGTGACCAGGTTATTTTTAGGCTGGTGTGGGGTTTTCCAGTACTTATAGGGTCCCTCCCATATGTATATATAGGGATCACTGACGTGAGGTATCATAGTGAGGGACCAGGTTATTTTTAGGCCGGTGTGGTGGTTTTTNTCAACATTGCTCCATGAATAAATGACAACTTGGCTTGCCATATGTCCAGTCTTGCATCGTTCCTTTAGATAGATCCCCTCCACACATTCCTTTAGATAAAAACAGATAATAACATGTTCAAACTTGCGATAGTCTCGGTTAGATAAAAGGGGAGCCTTACGGTGCCATATCCTTTCCTATGACATCACCGGTGACCTGTTTCGGCGTTATCATCACGGTTATTTTAAGAACAGACGGTTTTGTCCATATTATGATATCGTAGTGAGGGACCAAGGTTATTTTTAACCCGATGTTGAATTAAGAAACAAGATCTTATGAAGTATATAAAGTTACTGTTCTCTGCTGTATATAAACCACATTTAGTTACCCCCTTTTCATTTCTTGATCATGGGTTGGAAGGATCATTTAAAAGACATCTACTTCGAATTAAACAGTTCTATTAGCTATGCAGGACCAGTGAAAGTCTACAGATTTTTAGGAAAAGAGGGAAAGTACAAGGTCGGCCTTCATGCTATTCGTCGTTTCCTTCAGGATATTGACGCCTATAGTTTACAACGCCCACTTCGTTACAAGTTTCGGACTAGGAAAGTTATATCTCAGGGTCTGGATATTTTATGGGATGTGGATCTTGCTGATGTATCCAACATAGGAAAAGAAAACGATGGGATGCGTTATGTATTGGTCGCCATTGACGTGTTTTCACGCCACCTATGGGTAGTTCCTCTTAAAAACAACCTTCACAATACAATCATCGATGGATTCAAAACGATTTTTAACCAGGGCAGAAAACCTAGAGAAGTGAGATCGGATCCAGGAAGTGAATGGAAAAATAGACGGGTGAAGCAATATTTAGATAAAGAAGGGGTGGACCATTACGTCACTCATAACGCTACGCATGCAAATTATGCCGAAAGGGTGATCAGAACATTGAAAACACTCATGTACCGCTATTTCACGCATACCAGATCCTATTATTACTTGGATGTTTTGCAAGATATCGTCCGGAATTACAATGCAATGCCACACAGTGCACTTGATGGGAAATCTCCAGAAGAAATCAATACGTCAAACCAAGCAATTGTATGGAAACATTTATACGTAGATCACAAGAAGGCTAGAACTTCAAGGAAGAAGAAATTATCAAAACCTTTCAAGTTTAAAATAGGAGATGTGGTATGGTTATCTAGTAACAGACGCACGTTTCAACGAGATTCTGAACAGAAATGGACAGAAGAAGTGTTCTCTATTAAAGCGCGATACCTCCGACAAGGTATACATGTCTACAAAAGTGTAGACGACGACGGAGATCCGATAGAAGGGACGTTTTATAACAACAGTGAGCTACAAAAGGTGGGAAAGGGAAGAGACGACATGTTTAAGGTGGAAAAGGTATTGAAACAACGCAAGAGAAATGGAATAAAGGAAGTCTACATGAAATGGCTCGGTTACCCGAAAACAATTAACAGCTTGTTCAAAGAAAGCGACATACAAGACCTATAAAAAGGACACCATATAGAAGTCGTCTTCATTTCCATTTTAGCAGCCATGCAGTGTACATCGTGCCCAGAGTGTAACAGAAGTTTCTCACGTAGAGATGTTCTCTTAAGACACATGAAAACCATTCACGGGGGCAGTCAACCACATCCGCAAATCACTTATGCGTATCCGCCGTCGCTGCCGTCAGAGTAGCTACGGACAAACCCTATGTTATTTACTGTTGTTTACGTCTGCAGCGTAACGGTTTCCCGGATGAAACTATAAAAGGTTCCACGACAGATTTTATTCTGATGACAACTCTCCTACCGTGCTCGTCACGTCACATTTGTTGAGAATAATTATCATTAAATAGGCTGCGGCCCATCTTGAGGCTCTTCAGGCAATTTTTTATATATATCTTTTTAACAAAAAGGCTAACTTTATCTACTCTTTATATGTAACTTAGTTAGCCCGATATTTACATACTGTAAGAAGATGTGAAGTATCGAGGCTAACATCTAATGCTTTTGACATGAATCGCGCTAAAACCTGCGGATTTTTATGTACGATAGGGATAGATGTTAATATTAAAAAGCTGTTACATTAAGTAACAAACAACAATGCTGTATATTACCCCAAAATGAGAAGTGTGTTAACAACCAAATTAACAGGTATAAAATGTTTTATACAAATATATGTAACCGTTACAATTCACAACCCCCAGTAATCTTTATCACAAGTATAAATATGAATGACCAATATTACACTTACCCATCAAAACGGCGAAACTATATTATGATATACTATCAATGGGTCTGTTGTGATCCTTAAACATTTCATTACACCTGTTGATGCATGTATGACATGGGTGGTTTGGTGGTGCAGTGGATAGGCGGCCGGGGTTCGATTCCCCGATCGGACGTGAAAAGGTTGGGGTCACCTGCCCGACAATGTGGGTTTTCTCCGGGTACTCCGGTTTCCTCCCACACAAAGACCCCCCACGCGCTAACATCCGGGCAAACAAGAGTGATTAATATAAGTTGAAATAACTTGTTTCATAATTATTGTTGAATAAATAAAGTTTATATTTTTTTATGTATGACTCGCAATCCCTATAGACTAGATCGTATACACGTGATCGTTTCTAAAAATAGAAAGCTCGTATTCATGTGTATAGATAAACCTCAGGAAAATCCAATTACTAAATATAGCCTTCCTTAATGGAATCCCCAACACATATATATTTCTAAGGTTTGTGTAATGTTTCGTCAGTTGTTGCAATAAGAAATAAGAAATATCGTATTTGTTAGCATGGTTGTTCGGCCTAGCGCGTTTGAAAACCGCAATATAACATGAAAACCTTGCATCCAAACCATGTAATGTCGAACTTTTTAAAAACCTTTATCTTTAATAAAATGTGTGATTGATAAAAAATTATTTCAACGGTGTACCACATGTTTGGCTATTTCTAAACATCTTATCTTAAATTCGTTGATTATTTCTGCTAAGCCGAGTTGTACAATCAAATTCGTTGATTATTTCTGCTAAGCCGGGTTGTACAATTAAATTCGTTGATTATTTCTGCTAAGCCGGGTTGTACAATTAAATTCGTTGTTTTTTTCTACTAAGCCGGGTTGTACAATTAAATTCGTTGTTTTTTTCTGCTAAGCCGAGTTGTTCAATTTAGGAACCTGCGATAGACAGGAAACACTGCGCCAAAACAATCAAGTTATTACTTTTTATTGTTGAAGCATATATTAAAGGGATGCACTCTAATCTGAAAATGTTCAATTGAGCTCAGCTTTGCCTCGGTCAGTGTTACATTTGTTGGTTCATATTTCATCATATTCACAATCACAAAATTCCCTGACTGTTTATTCAATCCTGATCTAATAATATTACAGTGCACAAGAAATAAATACCAGGCCTTAACTAAAGTCAACACGGGTTTCCGAATCAACGTACTCTCTGAGTGGTTAGATAATAACGACAACATGGGAAGTAAGGTCATAGTAACATTCAGCTATTGTTAAAATACCCCATGCCTCCGTTTTCAGTTACCACT